GTGAACGGTTTGGTCTGCCAGAGTGATAGAGGTCTTAGGGCAATTGCCTCCAGGTCTGCCTACTTGACCTTCGCTGCTTACCCTTGTAGAAATCAGCCTACAGTCCGACGTTATTCCACCGGCTTTAGGGCCATGATAAGGTATTCGATATTGCATGATGATGTAGAGACGTAGAGAGGTAGCGTTTTGCATCGATGCTTCAGCCGTAGTGGCAGAGAGCCGAGTATCTCTCATTTTTCAGGCGAGACGGACGAGCTCAGTGTTTCTGAACTTCGGAACAAGACCTAATCGTTACGTTCAGGCTCCCATCTGGCGACGATGGTCGAGATATATTCTGGCCCCCCATTAGAGCGAATCAGTTATGTAGAGGGGGTATTCTTAAGACTCAGTTGACACTATGAATGGTGGCAGGTGAGTGGATTAGGTTGCATTTGAAGAATGCGAGGAAAGAATACAAAAACTAGCCGCTCGTCCGCCAAAAGCCCTGCTGGTGTAACATGGACACGGAAGTTCTCAAATCCTACGTTGGTGTCTATCCTCGTTTACGACCCTACGAGATCAGAGGATTTCCAGCTCTGATCTGATCCTTAAGGTTCATCTCAGCTCAAATACAGGTAATGTTACATTAGATACCTCCCGCCGGAAAGTCGGTTCGCTAAACTTGATCAAAAGAACCTTCTTCTCATGGTTTCCCGAGTCTTCGATCCCAGGAAGCATTCATTGTATGCTGTAACACGGCAACTCGTCCACTCAAGTGGCAAACCGGTGCTTCCTCAGAACTACATGAGCGATCAATGACCTACAAGATCTTCCCTGGCAATACGAAGACTGCAGGAATTACCCAGCCGGCCATTTTCTTTGGACTTGTATGATCAGCGTAGAAGGAAAAATTGACAGAAAGAATATTACGGTGACATGTACCTGGAACAATAACCTGACGGTATAGACGAAGAATGTCGCCCATGCGGCATTTTTAACCTAGCGGTGAGCGCGAAAGCAGACGGGGAGAGCCAAGGTTTGGCAGACGTTAGCACGGCAGTGGTGTTCCCAAGCCGAATGTAAGGGGTATCTGTAAGGGGTAGCAAAGAGACGGCGGAAATAAAGCAAGTTGAAAAGAGAAGAGCGAAACTCCTAAATACTCACCCGCCCATGTTCATTTCTACTCCACCATTAGACGATTTTCCATCACGAACTCGAGCTTTTCAGCTTTGAAGTTACCATGGCCTTTGATCTGGCACGAATCGAAACCGTCGTCGTGGACTCGGTGGCTCTCCTTCGGTCTGTTATAGGCGAGGTGATGACTCTCCGAACTGATACCCCATCACTATTCATCGACCTGGAAGGCTATCAGCTTGGTCGTCATGGTTCAATATCCGTCATGACCATTTACGCGCCCCCAAAGGAAAAAGTATATCTCATTGATATACACCGACTGGGAGCTGACGCATTTTCTACTGTCAATGTTGATGGTAAATCTCTTAAATCCATACTAGAATCGTCGGTCATCCTGAAAGTTTTCTTCGATGTTCGACATGACTCGGATGCATTATTCAGCCATTATAGTATCGCCATTGACGGTGCTCGAGACGTACAGTTGATGGAATTGGGAACAAGAACGGGCCCGAAAGAGTTTCTCGCCAGCTTAGCAGCATGTGTCGAGAAAGACAGCACGATTTCGGCAAAGGAGAAAAAGACGTGGGAGATGACAAAACTCAATACTCGACGACTGTATGACCCCGCACTTGGAGGACGATACGAGATATTCAATGATCGTCCTATTAAACCAGAAATTGTGAAATACTGCGTGGGAGATGTTGCGTTGTTACCGGGTCTCTTCGTTGCCTACAACACCAAGCTATGTCGACCTGGAGAGAAGTTTTGGGAGGTTCAGATACTGGAAGCAACCAAGGAGAGAATTCAGCTTTCGCAAAGCCCAAATTTTGATGGAACATCTCAAGCCAACGCCCGCGGCCCTTGGACTAGGGAGGGTATTGAAGAAGCAATTAACCAGTGGAATGACGACATCATGGATAATGCGATGAATGAGGAGGGTAATGATTTTGATTTTGACTTCGAGCCTATCTTTCATGACTTTGATGACGACGACGACGATTGGCATGACGACGGTCCGACCAGCTGCAGAGACATTATTCCCGACTGGGACTACGATTACTACTACTCTGATTAGGATTCTGGGCTATGTGATTCAAGACCGCATCGTTCCTACATTTCCTCACTACAGCTAAGCGCTGCACAATGAATCGCAAACTCTTCATGAGGTCCTTCAAATACCGTCTTTCAATTACCAATACCTTCCAGTTTTCCCGTCTTGGCAGTGCGCATGTCGTCTTAGAGAGCAGCCTTTCTAGACGATGCCCATGGCATAGCATTCACGACCTCATCAGCGACCACTTTAGCCAACACGAATTTAAATGGTCGAATGGATCTTTCAAAGTTCAATAGTCCTTTCAACACGCAAAAACGTTCGTACCTTGAGATGTATTAGTTTAGTCAACGTTTTGAATCAATACAAAAAAAGAGGAGCAAAAAGACCTTGAATCATAACAAGTGTGCTTGGACCTGATTGAGGGCTTTGCATGATATTGGCATAGGCGACTACACACCATTTTGTGGACGTTTGTAAGCCATCTTCGTTACTGTAATTAGCTCCAAATATACTTCATTAGGTTCCTAGGAGCCATCTGAGTTGATCAAAATTGACGACTTGGATTCATCATAATAAACAAGCCGGAATAACCGCAATTGGCGAGCGAAGATGACTGGTGGAATTGACCTAAATTCTAAACCCTAAGCCCTGCACTAGTGACTGTAATGAGTAGTAGGAGCGTGTTCAACCTGGGCGCGAGTATCCGACATTTGATGTCTGAGATGAAGAGAGACGGGATTTTTCGGGGTAGAAAATGTCTCCACTGTAAGTATAGGAGGGCGCTATAAAAGTTGCATTTCCTCAGTTTGCCTTCTTCGTGCCACTCCATTTCGAATTTCCTGTTCTAAATATCCGAGACTAGTCGTCCTCGGCCTCTCCATTTCGCTCAGCTCCATTCAAACTACAATGGCTTCCCCTTCGGCTATTCTGCCAATTTAATTGGATGGGCCTGATCTGCTACGTGGTTTTTTGGTGACTCGGATCATGCCTTAACTGTGATGAAGAACACATGTGCTACATTGGCTGTTGAACCCATAATGCAGCCATGGGCTACCATATAAATACCGTCGGACGTGCTAGCATTCCTCTGGAACGGCTTTCTGACCACCGACGCCTCTTATCAATCCGATAACATATGTTTTCCCTGATCTTGAAATGTAACTTTGATTGATGTGACAGGTTTAGGGGTCTTTTGGGTCATCGTATCTCAGGCCCCTCGATAGAAAGACTGTCAGGGTGAATTGCCTCGAATCAGCCAAAGTTTCTTTCTTTGCGACCCATGAGATATGTCTAACCACCCTTAACGCTCTTTACTACCCTTACGGTTCTACCTCCCGCGTAAAGTCTACCTTTGTTGTTGGTCCATTGAGAAGACACTCGCAAATCGAGGAGCTCGATAGGCTCCGAAGCCCGGGATGGTGCGTTTATCACTACACCCATGGTGTCCCTGTCGAAGATAATTCGAACCTCAAATTTGAAAATTGGAAGGGGAGCTTCGCGTACAGCGTACCCGTCATTTTCTCGACACCCACTGTATTGTGAATGAGCAGAACAATGAGGATGAGAAACTGCTGATTTCTACGAGCACAGTACTGAAGGTGCGAGACGATGTAGGGATTGACGTTCATTCCTTAGGCTGCTGTCCATAATGAACGGCCTCGCTAGTTTAACTCGTATTAGCAAAGCGGGGCGGGGCGGAATCAGAGTCTTCTCCTATTGGTTATTTGTCGTGGAAAAGTGGAGATTATGATAACACTGACACGGGATTGGTCCATATCCAACCCAGTGTCCCAATGTGTTTGTATGTAATATGCGGGTAGCACCTCAGGAGAGGACTGTCACTGGAATACTCGGTTACACCGCCATGGGACAGCTCAACCTGTCCTTTTCCCCATTTGTTTGAATGGTTTCCTTCTTTAATCAATCAATCTTTACCTGATGGTTCCGTAGTTCTCATTCGTCCATATATATACCAGTCTATACCAATTCAGCTCGTTTTGACATTATTTTGCAGCTCATATTTTCTTGTTTGTATGTAATATTAGGTATGTCTAGCAACTTGGACAAGTTTACTTCCGATTATTACAGCATCATCACAATTGATCCTCTAAATTAGCCTACCTATATTCTCCTGAATTCACTGAAACCCACACTGTGACCACTCGAATCTCACGGTCAATTCTGAAGATTGGCCCAAGCGGACACTTCAGGTCGTTAAATCTGACCAATTAGCGTGAATCAAGAGGCCCATTGGACTCCAGATGTATCAATTTAGGATGGTCAATTTGGTCGAATTCGGCTGGTGAAATCACCGCTGAATTACCCATCAAAATTTAGCTAGCTCGTCCATCCAAACTCGGGGGGTAACCTGAATTTTATGCTCCAGTGACAAAAAGCGTTCTCTGCTTCAACTAGGCCTCTGCTGTAATTCTGCCTGCGATTAGAAATCTCAATTGTCAATTGATGACTGACCTCCATAACCTGTGGCTCAGTTTTCTAAAACAAGAAACCAGCTAAAGTTCATCTTAAACTCTCCCTGTCCGGTCTGTATACTACGAAAAACAAACAAATATTCTTGGGCTAGTTAGACCCGAAATCATCTCCTATATGGCGAGTGGAATAACATGTTACTTAAATTATCTAAATAGTCAGTGATTGCTGGCGACTGTCTAGAGCTCTGTTCTCCGACCTTTCTCGAGTTGATTCCCATTTCTAAGGTGAGCCGAGCACTTCTTTGTATTGCTATAATTCAAGCTCACTTTACGAATACGACCTCACCCAATTCATCGGGTCTTCAATATCGAAAATATTCGCTTCCCCCAAGTCGGACACGATGCCTCTGGACTCATTCCCACCGGAAATTATCTCCATCATTGGAAACCATATAGCGTCGATAAATGACCTTTTCAACTTCCTTCGATCTAATCGACGCCTCTATAATGTTCTTATCAACAGCCTTTATCGCAGGAATACCAAATCCGATGGCGGATCTGCTCTTGTGTGGTATGCAAGTCAAGGGAACGAGACTGGAATTCGAAGCATGCTGGCCGCTGGTGGGAATATCAATATTCGAGAACCGAAGCAGGCGCAATCCACAGCTCTGATGGAGGCCGTACGTCACAATCATACCGCTATTGTGAAAGTTCTCCTGGAGAATGGAGCTTTGCCAGATGCAGCAGACCTTCACTCCAGAAGACCATTGACTTTATCGACAAGTGCCCGCAGTGACGTGGCTATCACCAAGTTGCTTCTAGAGTATGGCGCTAATATTAACCTTGTCGCATTTGATAAACGGGCACCACTGGTGGAGGCTATACGGTCTAATCAGGATGTCAAGGTGGGATTACTTTTGGACCATGGCGCCGACATTCACATCACTTCTAGTCGAGATGCAATGAGCCCCTTGCACATTGCGGCCGCAAGAAATGCTAAACCTGCAATCATCAAGGTGCTTGTGGATGCTGGTATATATGTCGATGCTCCAGATGGCCGTGGAAGGACCCCCCTTCAAGTAGCAGCCATGCATTCAAGTACGAGGGCTGTGCGGTGGCTACTGGATTGTGGTGCTACTGCGAACTTCGAAAATACAAGCCCAGATTCGCAAGGCTGGACTGCTTTATTCTACGCTGTGAAGTCCAAGAACTCGAGGATTGACAACAAAACCATCATCAAAACACTCCTACTCCATGGAGCAAAGATAGACACGACCAATTTTGCTAAAGAGACGCCCCTGCTCCATGCAGTCTCTCAAGGAGCGACAAAGCAAGCTCAGATCCTTCTTGAATATGGCGCGAGTATTACAGCACAAAACGCCAGCCAGGAGACAATATTACATCTGGCTGTTTCGTCCTGGACTTGGAGGCCTGATATGATAAGATGGCTTGTCGAAAGAGGAGCTGAAGTGAACAGGGCTGGCGGTAAGCGTAGCGAAACGCCAATATTTTACGCGATAAGGTGCGGTTTAGGGTTGGAAAGGATCCGAAATCTTGTATCGTTGGGTGCAGATGTGAATTTCAAAAACACAACCGGCCTCACCCCTCTGTCTCTTGCATCAAGTATGTGCTCTACCAAATTGGTTAAGTTACTGCTCGATTCTGGTGCTTTTGTCAATTCAAGGGACATGCAAGGGAAGTCTCCTCTGCACCATATTGTTGAAGCAAAATTCGGCGCCGCATCAGAAGTATTAGAAATCGTTTCACTTTTCGTGCAGTGCGGTGCGGATGTGAACTCCCGGGATTCTTCTGGATATACCCCCCTGCATAGAGCTGTTAGCAAAGAATGGACTTGGGAGACTGCTGGTGAGCTAATAAAGGCTGGAGCCGACCGGTGCGCCATGTCTTATGACGGAAAATACCCATATGATATGGTTAAGGCGGGGCCTTGGGCGGAGACCCAACGACTTTTTCTCCGTCACTATCCTGTTTGACCTTACGCATTTGGGGTAGCAGATGTGTCAATGGCTAGTAGTGAACTACTACAACTACTACGACATAATGTTCCCATTATTCCGGATAATCAATATTGTTCTCACTTCCGTCGGTGGCGGAGATCTAAAGCTACACTCACCCTGTGAATTTCACGTTAACATAGAAATTAGAACTCTTGCAAGTGAATATCAGCAGTAGTGTCTACGCGTATCCATTCTCAAAGCTAAACTAGATGGCGTGTAACATAGTTTTCTATCAAGTGCTAGGTACTGTGCTGAACTTGAAGAACATCGATTATTGTACAGTAACACGTAGTGAATTGTACGCGTGGTTTGGCCCCTATGATATGATCAAGGCTGGCCATCCCAAACCCATAATTGTTACGGATTTCCCAATTTTTCTATCACCGCCCTACCTGTAGCTTCAGCATATGCAGTCTCAAAAAATTCAAGTATTTTTGGAAACTGTCGATACCACATTCAATGAGATTATGTTTCCACATTTCATACCTTTAGAGGAATCAATGGTTTCGAGCTCGTGGATCAAGGACAGTTGGAGTTGTAGGCAATCAATTTCCATTAGCTTATATGGAGAGACTTCATTAAATTATCCCGCACAATAATTTGAACCTTTGAGACTCATTAATGGACATTAGCGAAATATTGGAAGAGTTAGCTTGTTTTATGAAGTAGAGTGTTATGAATTACAGAGTTTCAGCCTTGCTTAGGTTTTGCCCGCCTTATGTTTGAACGTTTTAAAGTCGAAACTCCGTTGTTTAACTTAGGATAGACAGAAGAGGTTATTCTTGCATTGACTAGTGATTGATTATACTAAATTGGCCGCTTCAACTGACAACCAGAATCTCGAGGTAAGCGTGAATAGATGCTCATTTTTTGATCATTTGTTCAATACATGCTTGCATTTTTTGGTCAGTTTTTGCTAACCTTTGAACAATTAAGGAACAGTTTTTTTGCTTCTGTTAATTTCTGCCTATTTCTTTGTGTTACGTCAGTTGTCTATCTATTAGCATTTCTATGTATCAATGTCAATTGTAAATTCTTGTTTGCTTGCCTAGGATAGTCAAAATAAATCATGGTGAAATTCATTTTAAATCCCAGCTCATCAAAATCGACTGGCGATATCTCGTGCTATTTGCCATTTTGATCACTTCACCTGATTATCGGGATATTCTCGCCGATTGCGCAACTTTTACGCACAGTATGGTGAATTAGCCACATATTTTGCCCAACATTTGGTTTCCGTTCTCTCTATTACGGCCCAAGTCGTCTCCATATTGCTTATCTTGAATAGTGAATCTTTTGGAACACATCCTTCTGTGGGAAAAACACTGGTGGTGATTAACTCCTAAGGTAGCGACTGACAGTTAGCATCCCATGTTTGGTGTACGCAGTCTTACGCTAGGCTGCGTTTCCAGTGATGTGATCGCTGAGCGCTAGAATAGGGGATACAGCGATCCTTATCCAACTAGACCTAACATATACGTCTCTGTACATAAATCAACGAAGTTTGCCTTGAAAGAATGAACATTATTCACTTAATTGCGTTCGTGGTACCAGCTGGTGCTACGAATAGTAGCAATCGCTTTCTTTCACTACTGTTCCTTGGATACATAGAGATGCGTCTTCAAACGCACATAGTATTAATACAAGCTCTCCAAAGCCAAACCGCATACGCTTATCCTTGACGAGGAGACTTAAAGAGCCCGCTAGAGATGTTTATCTACAGGTGGTAATCTGGGTACCTGGGGCCATGACAGATTTAGGATGAGCGTTTTCTGGCCACTGTTGTCCCAAGGCCGGATGAAACACAGTTCCAGTGCCTCAAAGCCACCCATGTAATAGAGCTGTAGAACTGTGTCCAAGTGGGCTTCAAGTCTGGAAGTGTGGGTCCGCTGTTCGGAATCTGTGGTGGGATGGCTTTGGCCTCAAACCTCGTGACCTAGAGCAGTTCATTTGTGGCCATGACTTCGTGGCAGTAGACGCAGATCCACCTTGGACGTAAGTCCACAGCTCCAGGTCTAATACAGCCCTCAAGCTGTCAACTGGCAGCCTGTACGGCCAAGTAGCCATGCGGGCTACATGTCTGCAGACTACAGTCTATACGAGCCACAAAGCTATGGAGTAAAATCTCAAGAAAGATAGATTGTTCAATTTCGCTGCTTGCGTTTCGCCGGCCCATCATCATGAAGCTCGGCTTGGAGTGCCCGTGTGATCGAATCCATCGTCGCTTCACTTACAGTCAGATCGTCGCCGAATGTCATGAAAACCGTGTTCGTGCCATCTTGGATCGCCGCATCGAAGCACTGCCCAGGGGCTACCTGCCGTAGATCTTGGTCGTAATAGGTCGCCCTGTGTGCTCGCGCCTGCTTAGCTGCCATCCGCTCCACTGGAGACGGGTCCAACGGGTCGACGTCCATTTTGTGGACTAAGCGATTCCAATCGCCATGTGCGTCACGTGCGCGGAACATGATTGTCACCTTCGATCCTTTGGTCGCACCGCTTGCGCCTCCACGTCGCGGAGACCTGTCTCGCTCCTCAGGCCGCTTCTCTGACTTTGCCATGTCCATTCGTGAGCGCGGACCGGCCTGTGTGGAAGTCTCTCGCGCTGGTGATAACGCCGGACGCTCCGTCACAGTGCCCTGTTGCGTAGCATCTGCGATAACCTGAACGTCCGGCGATGTGCGGGGGGTTACAGACTCCGACCGCCGTGATTCCCGCTCCGACTGGATATTCGTCATCCCATAGCGTCTGGGGTTCCCATTGATAGCGCCCGGCATTTCTGGCTGCGGCTCAAACGCGACTGACCCTGATATTTCTTCCCCCGCCTGTTGGTGGTCCTGAGTCGGGCCGTCTTGACTACCCGCTGGCGATGAACTCTGCTCTTCGTTCATTCCTGACGGAGGAGGATTCTGCGCCTCGAGGAAATTAATCTCAGTAATAGGTCTTGGTGTCTGTTGTTGAGCATCTGTCTGTAGCAGTGCGTTTATATCCTGCTCCAGAGTTTCCTGGGGCGGCATGGACAGCTTTGTGGTTTGTCGGCGCCGCTCTGTCTGGTCATACGGTTTAAACTTCGCCCTCTCTCGCAATGCCACACCCTTTCCTCCCATAGCCCTAGAAGGTCCCGATTCGTTTCTAGATTGCCGACGTCCTTCTAATCTGTCCAGTGCCTTTCGAACTTCTTCCGACGGAGAAAGCTGCGCTGTTTCTGCCCCTTCGTTCTCTTGTTCACTTGCATGCTCTTCCATGCTGGCATCTTCCAGGGACTCCTTCCTACTCATTCTCCCTTCACTCCCTCTTCGTGGATGCTCGTCCTCAAATCCTGACTCAGAATGACCTTCTGACTCTTCATTTTCGCTGAAAGGTTGCTCCCCCGGAATGGGTTCACGGTGCTCGAGTTCGTCCGCTCTGGACGGTTCTATGTCAGGAAGACCCCGCTCAATTCCAGATATTTCGGACTCAGTCTCGACTGTAGGATCCAATGCCTCTTCCACACCGCTACCGTCCGAAATAGTGCGCTCAATTTCCATATCAGACTCGGGAGGTAATGTCGACAAGTTTCTCGAAGGAGACATCGAATGATGATCGGAATGTGAGGATTGTTGCCTTTTCCGATCTCGTTGTTGTCGTCTCTTTAACTTCTCCGCTCGCCTCTGCTGTCGCCGCTCTCGACGAGCGTCTTGCGAGCGTTGCTGATCTAACTTGCTTTCCCATTCAGCTCCTCTGTCTACCATTTCATCTTGCGGCGAGCGACCACCCGGGACAAAAAGCGGTGACATCGGCAAGTCAGTAGTTGGCGATGCGCCTGTTGTGTCGCCATTCACGATGGGCATTGACAACTTGCTGAAAAAAGTGAAGTAGACACTCCTCCTCACCAAAATGGAAGTCGCCTTCCGTTCCTCTTTGACGGAGTCACCATGAATTTTGTCAATGAAAAGAAACTGACAATCATGCAATTGTGCCTGGATTTGCGGATGTCCACATCGAGACTCCCTTTTGGTTTCCCTTCCACCAATGCTTTGCACGGAAAGCTGATGGTCAAGTGGGATCGCCCTCAAGAAGCACTCAGTGACTTTGTTGATCAATAACTCAGCCTCTTCCTCGTTATATCGATAACGATCTGGCCGACGAGCTCTCAAAAGGGCATCTTGTGCAATTTTCCGATCCGGCGACTGCTGGATGAGCTGCTGAATCTGCGGCGATTGAAATCCAAGCTTTTTTGCAAGTATGGCCATGTCATACAGTATCACTGGATCCACCACCTCGTTGGTAGACTTCGCCGTAGGATCTATCTTCTGTGCTGGTTTGGACAACCTTGGATAATGACGCATAGCATAGAGCCACAGCTGTCGGTAACCAAGTTCGGCAGGATCCCCCTGAGAGTGCGAATAATACCGAAGCCCAGTTTCGGATGTCTGTATCAAAAACTGCGTATGGGCGGGATCGAAAGTCGAAAAGGCCGCGCGCATAGCAGTTCTGATAGTTGGGCATGATCTAGAAGGTGTGATAAGTCGTTTGATGCAATTGGCACATGATTCTAGGTACCAGAGATCTTTGAAGAATGTATACAGAGATGGAATGATGCCATCTGTCCTCTTCAATCGCTTCCAAATCGAAGACCGTTCTGATCCCGTGAAATTTGAAAAGACTTCCCCGCTGTGTACAAGGCCTTTAACTGTAGTTTTGTCTTTTGATGAGTCTCCGGGTGCCAGCAGTTGGAGCTTTTCTACTGTATGCGTGTCAATTCTTAGCATTTTAGCACGATCGTGTCCAACGAGCGAAGACCAGTATCGGAGTAGCTTAGTTAGTGCATGGACTATCTCCTGCGAACGAAATCAGCATCACTTTTGTCTTAAAACTTCAATGGACTTGCCTCGTCGCAGCAAATAGCCAGTGCTTGAGGAAGAGACCCAATTTGCATTCCATGTATCAGCAATGAGGGAAGCACGAGAAAAGAATCAAAAGCAGCTCTGACGCTTGGGTGGGACTCAAGTCCACGAAGCCGCCTTGCCTTGTTGTCTGACAGCCGCGCCAACCATCGATTTTCGAAATGCGCATTTGCTTCATTTCGGTATTGTCGAGCCTTTACGTATATTTCACCATCATTTGGAACTCTCTCATTCGAATACTCATCAACAAGGCTGGTTTGAAGACTTGGGCTAATGTCTTGGAGCCGTTAGGTCTGACTCTAAGGAGGAAAGGATATGGAGGATTCCTAGCTTACCGTCCAAATACATGTCAACAGTCCACCATTGGTCAATAGATGGTAAATAATGTTCTCCGGCCTTCAATCGATGTTGGCCATGAAGAAACCTTATTGAACCAACGGAAAAATGGAGGTGCGGATAGCCATTCCGTTGATTAGTCTGCAATTCAGCGAGGTTTACTCCTGCGGCCTGTAAAGCATCATGGAGATGTTGCCTTGATACAATAGCGCTAACATGGTTATATAAATCGAGTCTTCGACAACCTTCCTTGTCAAAAATCTCACAAAGCCTTTCCACGTTCTTCGTGTTTATATACTGCGAGACAGATGGATGGGGTGCCATCTCATTGATGTTAATCTTGGCTGTCCCTTGGTATTTCTGACACCTTTCTATCTCCAACTGCCCCTCCGGGTTTGCGTATATAGTATCGTCCATAATTATTTATGAAGCAAGATTTGGTATTTTGCTTACCAAGAGAGAGGTCTTTATATCCAACAGGTCGTGGCCTCACAAATGAAGGGTCCACCCAATCCGTACAAATTCAGCGTCCAGGCGGCCAAATGGGACTGCGAGGCCGAGTTTGTTCAAAATATATTAATTCCATCTATGGCATTCAGATATAAATAAGCCACTCTGTGTGTTCAAACACGTACTTTCCGTGCTACCGTGCTTCCTCCCTTGGTCCCCATATCCGACGCAAATATGTCTAAAGAAAACAAGCACTGCACGAAGGTTGACTTCTCGAGTTTCACAGAACTGTTGGCTAACAGTCAACCACGAGAGGTAACATCGAGTGGACGACCGCACCAGCATGATGTGCCCACCCCATTGGGCAGTAATTCCAACTCTAAGAAAAGAGAAACTCCCCACCAGATTGCACATACACGAAAAAAAGTCAGTGGAGGGCCAAAAGGCTTTGGCTTACCGCAGGTGTGTGAGGAGGGTGCATCTCGCCGGTTGATCGTGAGGGAGGAATCACCTTGGGATACATATCGCCGGACACTCAGGTGTAATCTGGCAGGCGATGTATTCATTGCATCTCGCCGTTCCCGGCCTTCCCAAGTGGTAGCTATTCGGGAGTACACTGAAGGAGACGTCGTTAAAATGCGACGACTGTATGATATCCTTGACCACGATAATGTATTGACAGCCAGAGAGTGCTTCATCAATGATGGACGCATATATGCTCTCGTCCACGACCTCCCTCTCACTTTAGAGCAACTTGTGGGCTGTAGGTCACTCTATCCCACAGAGACGGAATTGGCTTCCATGGTTTGGCAGGTACGTAGCTCTTCACATTTCAACTATCCAGAGCTCATGGTAGTGCAGATATTGAATGGATTATGTTACCTCAACGATACTGGGCTAGAACATCAGTTTTTGACATGCCGAAGTATACTTCTTGGCCTAGATGGCACCGTCAAAATTGGTAGGTGGCCATTTCCTCCTTCGTCATGACCCCTCTGACTCCCTATAGCCAGCCTGGAGTTCTGCTTGGATCGTCCGCCTGGTCAGGTACAGAATGTATACATCAAAAAATTGGCTTGCATTACCATGGAAATCATGCAGAAGTATGTGAAAGACGATGGCATGGTAGGAATAGATGATGTGGAACGTTGGCCCGTCGACTCCGATGCCTTTAAGTTTCTTTCCGCTCTCTCAACAACAAAGTCCATTGAATCCCTAAAAGAGGTGTGTATCCTAGCCATCACTCAATGTATGTGAGTAGGCCACTAATCTTAACCAGCAACCACTTGTGCGCAAAAAGAGTCATTTGGTAGGAGAACTGGTGCTTCTTGCTCGGTCTATTCTAATTTCCGCGAGGATGTTCTATTCCTACGAGAGATAAGGACCAAAATCACTTTTTAGAAATGGTACAGTAGTTTTCGTAATCAGTTATACCTCGAAACTCTTGCGACTTCATTAACGGAAAATAAATCCGCCGTACGTGAGATCTGATTGGGCCGTCTATTTTAGGCACCATTTAGACCGCTTTCCTTCATTATCACTGTATTTTTTAAGACAATTACCAGACCGTGAGAGATGTAATTTACACGAAACAGACATACACACTCTACAGTACCTCTACTGCCCCTCCTTTCCCCCTTCGTCGCTCAACAACTTCCCTACACATCACATTTCCACAGTACAAGTTTTTCCAGCTCAGCACATATTTACTTTGAGGCGATATGGCTCCAAGACTCTTTTCTGCAAAGCTCGTTCTCATACGCGATATGATAGAGAGCCAGTCCTTCACCACATCTGAAATGGCTGAGCAGGCTGAATGCAACAAGCTAACCATCATCAATATCCGCAGAAACTTACGCCAATTTGGAAGCATGTACGCCCCTCAAACCCGAGTAGGTCGGAAACGAACTGTGATACTCATGATTATTGTGGCCCTCTGTGATCATCTATGTAAGAAACCTGGCCTATCTCGACCAGATGGCTGTGTTCCTCTAGGACGGGTTTTAGAGCATCGTTACAAACTCCAGCATTAGGAGAGCCCTTGTCGCAAAGATATGGTTGAAAAAGACAGCACGGTAACGTCCGAGAGAGCAGAATGCTGATCTGTGAGATTATTATCTGCATAATCTGTCGGACTTTAAATCGTACTACCCCGTATATGTTGGTGGCAAACGCGTTGGATTTAAGACGGACAGGTTGGGCACCCCTTGGCACGGCCCCTTTGCAGGTAAAGTAACTCCTAATTTCATTGTGACTAGAGATACTAGATATTGCCCGCACGTGCACATGATGGGATTGTTTTCTTCCCTGTCTCCCGCGGTTCTACGGTTGCCATAGTGTCTGAAAACTTTATAGCCCACTTACTTTGCCATCAAGGAAGATGACCAGAACTCTGTTCTCGTCATGAATAACGCAACATTTCATCAGTTGGAGCGACTTGTAAAACTATGTGAACACGCGAGGAATTTGTAATTGAAGATACTGGCGGCTATCATCACGCATAAGAGTGGCATCATAAGGCCAGTGAATGCAGTATTCGCCAAACCCTCGGAAAAAATGATTTGGTCTCAGATCATGATTTACTGGGCACCCGATAGCCCGTAAAATTTTGAGATAAAAAGAAAGGAGAGTCATCATTCACGGGGGTATAGTAGATAGCGGGTTCCCGCTTGGTCTCAAATAGTGTACGCTCTCGTTCATTTTCCAGAGATGGCATAGGAGAGACTTTAGAGTCAAAGCACAGTTCGCCATAATTAGGGAACTATTCTATCCGTGTAAGGCCATGCATCTGGAAATAAGGCTGCTGCGTTGCTGTCTCGAGGAGGCCCCGGGAGCGTAGAAGTGTTTCCTAACACCATATCACCATTCATTGAGGAGCTTCTGCTGCTCGCCTGATCCCGGCCAACCATAACTTCGAGGTCTGGCATATTCTTTACCGAAATTAAAGCCGCCGAATCCGCTTCTACGTTCGATTAGCTAGGATTTGCATGTGGTCGGCTTAACATACCAACTAATCCAGCGAGGAAGCTTTCTTCCAGCTCCCTAACATAATATAACTCATCTAGAAGGTGTATCCTTTCAGCCGGGAATATATGCCGTCGTACAGGTTGCTCTGCAGCTTTGAGTTTCTGTGCCGTGACTCCGTAGCTAGCAGGGAGTTCACAAAGTATATGAACGAGAAGCCTGATACGCTCTATTGAAGAGTTAGTCCCGTAACAGTACAGACGGTATCCTTTTACTCTACCGGCTTTCAGGAGATGGTCGGGCTCTCGATGTCGCACTCCGGACGGCCACCACGGCGGTTTTGTTTCATTTGGACTCATCTCATGTTTATGGCCTGCTGCGAATTTTCGCCCATTGTAGGGATATCGAACCTGCTTGCGTGGCTCGACGAGTTTTACGTAGACCTTTGCAATAACTCGACAATTTGTTTGTTGTAGATTCTCGAAGACCTTGATGTAGTAAAAGCGAAGGAAATGTTTGTCTCCGAGCGAGATTAGGCTTTTCGAACTTAGGTCGAGCTCTTCTTCCGAAGGAAAATCACGTTGTTGAAAGGTGTTCCCCGTTATTACTTCCCCAGAGTAAAGCTGTATTGGCCAAGAGGTAGGTTGGCTCGAGCATCCTAAAGCCACGGGAGTCCCACAATCTTTATTAGCGCCTTGACAGCCTGTATGGAGAGTGATCAGACGCTGATGCGGCGAAAGAAAATGCTGATCTATATAATACATCGGGCAGCTTATTTTCTCCACTATGGATGGTTCCACTGTCTTGGTTTAGCTAAATAAGTCATCTCACGCGTTGCTGGGCATTCGACTTACCCAGTCCATTTGAAAGATCCTTTTCAGTTGATTCTGCAACCGCTTTCATGAAGTTGAGCGTGACCATCCGTGCAAGAATGCTCTGGTAACTATTGGAAAGGGAAGGGGACAACTCAAGGCGGAGTGTACCCGTCCAGTCAATGTATATGAGGCAATAGTGTGTGTAAGCCCAACGTTCCTGCCCCGCTTGTCTCAGCATGATTACAATCAGCTTGAAAGCATATTAAATCTCTCGATCCTGATGGGAGAAAGAAACTGAGGAAACAATTCTGTTAGTCACCTGGTGTCTTCTTCTTTAAGCTCCGTTTTATTTCAATGTCGCTAGAGCGCAATCAACGTACCGCAGGAAATATGCTCGAGATTGCAAGTGGAAGGGTCGGACCTCCAGACGAGTTGATTATGTAAGAATGCTTGACTGGCCGAAATACTCAACGAGGGATGTTCTGAATTGCGGACGCTTACGGGTCTTATAGGGCTCCAACCGTTTAATTCGACTTTTGTTATCGCGCTTCACCGGACATCTGTCTTGGCGAGGCAGAGAAGATCAGCTTAGTACATACCGCCATTGAAACGACATCGATCATGCGTCAAGGTCTGCAACCTCATAGAAGCCAATAGTATTCTAGTAGCTGTTATACTTAGCTTGTTCAATTATTTCGTGCCAACAAGGGGTGGCGACACTCTTGATCAGTTGGAAACTAGTTGAATGCGCCGTGCTGTGGGCTAAAGCAAGGGCTAGACTCAGAATTCAGGGGTAGGCCGTATCCGCATTTAGCCTGATACAGAGAGAGACCAGTGTATAAGATTATGTTTAGGTTTACTATAGCTCTCAGTGGAAACGGGACCACGCGAACCATGCGAACCATGTTCTTTGAGAATGTTAACTTTACTATGAGTCGCCAAGAAAGGGCACCCACTCAGCAGATTGGACCTTTAATCCCCAGAATCAAGCCGAAAAGAAGTAATGGGTGCCGGTACCCTGAGGGGAAAGTTCCTTTCTACAGGAGAAAGTATTTCGTTATCTAAATCTCAAAATAAATACGCAATTCAAGGCAAGATACCTGCCAAGATGGCCATTTGAGGCTCGAGTCATTAGCAGACAGTATACGGTAATATTACTCGCTAACCGAGTCAGGTATTGACTCGGGCAAGGCAAGAGATGAATAAGAAGAAGAGGTTATGATGTGACTTAATCGACTAAGCCCGATTGGGCAGGACTCGCCTCTTTCAGGAGTGCGAGATTATTTTCTCGGAGCTTGTGAGGCGGTCTGTGCGCTTGGCGCGATGATCGTCCGTCCGAGCGCCCAAGCCAGCGTTCCATGGAGTTAGCGCTAGGCTAATTCTGGCTAGATGGAGCCCCTTCCCAGAGGCCTGAGCACGTATCATCGGCTGCGGGGGGAATCTAGAACCAGGGCATCCGGGCTAGGCGCCGCCGAAGTGATTTCCCAGGTGTCTGGGGGGTAAAATGTTTTCGAAATTCACATTAACTAAAAGATACATTGCACCATTCTTCTATCGTCAAAAGGAGAAACCGACAGAATCGATTGATAATAAGAAATCACAGAAATGAGGGAATATCGTCCGACCAGTTCCATGGACCACCGGCATCTACAAAATCCTTTGCAGTAAAACGTCCGGGGGTACTGGGGACAAGAACAGTGGCATTGAGGGAAATTGGGTTTAGGTGTGTAGCGCGTTCTCAATCCCTCCACACATCCAACCCAGCCTTATAGTGAACTATCCTGCAACGCAACATGAAGCTCCACTTCCGCATGTCAAGCACCTACTCAAACAACCGTAGTCAGAGCTATCTTATTCAAGACCAGCTCGTCATTAGTATCACACCCTATCAGGTTGCCCAGAATAGTCCCCAAACCTGGACGCGGGGTCTATATAACCTGACGGTATTGTTACGATGACTCATCTAGTATGTAAGGCTATTACTGCCACTGTTTTGCCAAATTTATCGAGCGGTAAGCTAAAGGAGGTTAGCGTGTTTCGGGTATCTTTTCCGGGAATAAAGTCGCAAGAGTGTGGAGGTATAACTGATTTCGAAAACTACTGTAGAACTCGCTATTTTATGATCTATAGTTCATTACATGCTTGAAATTGTTGTCAACGAATACAGCAATAGCGCCTAGATAGATACCATACGATTTATTATAGTATATAGCCATCCAAATGCCAGTCCTGGCATACCTCGGCAAACAGCATTGAAAAAAACTCCAATATTAAGCTCTGGAAACAACAGAACAATGCTGTGTTATGTTGATTGGTCATGGACTTAAACAAGTTACTAGATCCGGACTTAAACAAGTTACTAGATCCGGACTTAAACAAGTTACTAGATCCTTGCCATTCATTACATTGTGGTAACAAAGTCAACTAAAACCAGATTCTCATGAATAGGACATCGTAAATCTTGGAACCCGTCTGGTAGATAAGAATGAATAGAACGCCACTCCTAAACATGAGATTGACCCTCTGGGAATTTGGAAGGTTCCGCCCATGTCCTGTGATAGACCACGGTCTTCGCCAAGGCAACATTTTATAAATTTGGGGAAGAACTAGAATCATTAACCAACGCGAGTGATGAAGAAATGCCTGAATGAAGTAAATGATCAATGCTATTAGCTAAGAAGGTCGATATTGTGTCTCCAGTGATTCCCGATATAGGCGCCCACATAACGTGCCTCGGTGCCTCAGTCAGGCCCCTTATAAAGCATTGGTATCCACGAAAGAGAATACACACTCTCTTTTGCTCCTTTTCTAGTTTTGGTTTTGGGGTCATTCCCTTTCCTCTAAGACTACGTTGGTGCGTGGTCTTAGATACATCTTTCACATTGCGGATTTTGCTGGCTCGACCCGTCCTGCCATGGAGTAACCTTCGAGCGCCGCCCCCCTTGACACTAGTTACGGACTATGTATGCAGCACGTGTTCGCTTCATAACAGGCTAGATAGTGCAATTAATTAGTGGGGGAGGGTGGATCTAGGAACAATTTGACTTGGCTAATTTGAGCTTTTTGTTTAGATTGTATTGTTGGCTTAGGGGAGGGAAGTAAAAATGAATATTCAATTTTTTTTTAATTCCTCCTTCAAAATCGTGGACTGGCGTGTCACTCACGTTACGAGCTATCCTAATCGCTGGCAGCTTGCTGTTGGTGACTTTCTTCACGTGCTATATCCCTCTCCCAACTCGACCTCTGCGGGCCGAATGGGCTGTCTTGATTATCCGCTCTTTACTAGTCCAAGGTCGCCCCGGCCACTCCAAAACACCATAACGAAGACGAAAAGTACAGCTTCATATCTCAACAAGCTCATCTAGTATGGATAAGGAACTGAGCTTCTGCAATCCCAAAAGTGTTCGTACTGCTGACAGTTCTCTCACTTGATTATGCATTGGCATCACTTATTTGGCAATTTGGTCGAATTAGAAGTTGAAATCAGAACGATGATGGGTAAGCATATATTCTTGATAGCTCCTATCCTACATAAGTGGTTTGGAAGATGTTTCCTTGGTCTGCCGAAATGTTTCTTGATGTAGGTCGAATCAGCAAAATTGGGAGAGTCTTACGCCCGTTTGTTTCAGCAAAAAATACTTATTTCCCAGCCTGCTTGGAATCTTGTGTAGAAATATCGTCTAATTAGACAAAGAATAGCTAAATCAGATCTTGCTACCTGAATGATGGAGATTAACCAAGCGTATTGAGGAGTTAGAACGCTGGCTGGTAGGATCCGTTTCATTGGGTTTCCCTCGCTATCTCAACCACAAATCAATCGCCCTCAACCAGGTGATACAATATGATCCTGGAGTTAGGAATCGGTTCTTTATTGGCTCAAGTGAGAATAAGGAACCACTTGTCAGAGGAAACCATCGCTTGCTCGGCGAATTTGTTCTATTAGCTCTATTGGTATTTTTTTCGAATGGCACTCAGGAAATGAATTGCATGGTGGATTTAGATAACACCTCAACTTGCTCTTTCCCTATGGAATGGCAAAGTAGCGAACCTATGTTCACCCATCACAAATGCATAGTGACGAGTGGATATGAAAGGGTCTGGAGCAACGGGAATGTACAGACCTTGCTAGGACATAGTTTCGCAAATCAGCAAAGGGCAAGGTGATGTTCTTCGCCTACGTTCTTGGATCTTCCGTTTTTTTTCTCCGGAGCTTCGATACTCCCGTCAGTAGGTAATGAATGGATTTAGCCCTTTTCGATTGAGTGGCTCGCAACATCAATAGGGCTTAGCTTGTTCGAAATTGCGACTAAAGTTAACCGACAAGTGAGCCGTGGTTGACTGTTGTAACGAAGCTTGGATCAACTATCCAGTCGTACCTTCGCAGAATTACAGCTAATAATAGTGGTATCATGGTTCCTTTAACACCGGTTCCGCGCCGAAGCTATAAGCAGTATATGATGACTATATGTGAGGGTATGGAAATTGACCATGATCCACTTCTTAACACGAATTTAGAGCCTCGTCAGGGCCCCTCGTGGCCGATTGTCGTTTAATTTTTACTGTAGACTGCCTTATGGCACATGGTACACACGACTGCGAACCCGCTGCAAGGCCTCGATGGCCTGAGCCGTCTTCGCCCTCGAGACGATATCTGGTTCACCCTGCTCATCTCGTCTGAGCATCCCGGCAGACTCGGCACGCCTCTCAGCGCATAACCAATTTTACGTCTCAATTCTACCCCCAGCGGTCGAAGCTTCGGGCATTCTATCAGCACGTGGGCGACTATTTCCTGCATACTACATTTACGTCGATCATCCTCGCGAAAGCAGAATTACTCCGCGTCTGTGGATAGCCAGTTGTGAACCGTGCGTAGGTGCGTCAGCAGGTATCATGATCCCTTCCCGCTAACGGTGGTGAACTCAAAAATACTGTAGATCCTCTGCTCTTTGAGATACCGCGCTTTACAGATTCTCTCTTTTGCTCTATAGTTTTTGCTAGGTAGACCTGGGTAGTTAAATAGTTCTACCGGATTTTAGTTCATATATCTACTTGGTGATAGAAAAATCACATGGGACTGTCATATAGCACTTTCGTTACAGTACAGGTCATGTTTATGTAGGGTGATATCCCGTGCCACCATTTTCCTCCTGGGTTAGTGTGATCCCAGAAGTACTGTATACCACAGAGTACTGTCGTTTAGATCAAACACTTGTCGAACACTGTACTAAGGGTATATAGAGTGAAGATCATCTCCCTTCCATTTACGCGCAAAGGCTGGTGCAATAGTATCTTAAAATCAGTCACCATCCGCAAATTACTGTGCGATGGTCTGTATTTCTTGCTGGTATGGGTTAATTGCATTGGAATATTCCAGGCAGGTTCCTCATAGTAAAGTGGTGTGATTTAATCCACAGTGCCTACCTACCTCGCATTTCTTCATTCGCCTCTATGACTTTGCGTCTGATGGAAATAATTCCACACTGGTTCCTGAATCAATTTACCCGTTTGTTCTGTATTTCAAGTCTTGTGCTTATGGCTTTGATTGGGCCAACTAGCCAGATGGGAAACCATCCTTCAAGTTATCATAT